CCTAGCTGCTCCGGAAGGCCAGTAGCAGTTGCAGCGTCCAGCCCCACAATAATGGTAAAAAATGTTGTATTTTAAATTGTTGTATTGTCTTATTTATCCCCCTTCCCTTTTTGATTGTAAGCCACCCGGAGTCCTTCGGGAGTGGGTGGCATACAAAACTAATAATAAACTAAACTAAACTAAATAATAAACTTTGCAGGAACAGCATATAGACTGAAAGAATTTTGTGCAAAAGAAAGGGTTGATCGTAATGAATAATAAAACCCTTTCAAAAAATGCGGTGGTGTTGGTTTTGGATTTTGAGACAGAAATAAAGAAAGGTTTTTACCTGCTGATCTTTTCCATTTACTCCTGTTGCCATGACATTGTGAGAATTAATTTTTAGAAATTCTATATTAAGAGCTGTGCCTAAAGAATATAATAGATTACCCATGTGGATAAATAAAATACCAGTACAGGTACTCCTCAACATACAATAGTTCATTAAAGTGACTGAAGTTACAACGGCATTGAAAAAAGTGACATGACCATTTTTCACACAACTATTGCAACACCCTCATGATCATGTTCATCAGACTTCAGAAGCTTGGCAACAGTCGTATTAATGACGGTTGCAATGTCCTGCGGTCATGTGATCATCTTTTGCAACTTTCTGACAAGCAAAGTCAGTGGGAAGCCAGATTCACTTAACAACCGTATTATTAATTTAACTGTGATTCACTTAACAACTATGGCAAGAAAAGTATTAAAGTTGCAAAACTCACTTGACGAATCTTAATAATAATTTTCTTCTTCTTCTTCTTCTCCTCCTTCTCCTTCTCCTCCTTCTCCTTCTCCTTCTTCTTCTTCTTCTTTGCCATATCCTTCATTACATGTTGGTGATTATGTTAGCAATCAAATTTTTGTCAACAGCTGTATGAAAAAGTGCTGCTGAGTTTTGGCCAAACCAGTCCCTTAGGTTTTGAAGACATGATGTTCTTCTTCTGCCTGGACCTCATTTGCCTTCAATCTTTCCCTAGAGGATTAAGTGAAATATGCCGTATTTTTCTGGGTGTCGCATCACGTGTCCAAAATACTCTTAACTTTCACTTTTTAATGGCTTTGATGATTTCCCTTGGCTTTCCCAAGCGGCTTATCACCTCCTCATTTGTGATTTTGTCAACCCAGCTTATACATAACGTCCGTCTGTAAATCCACATTGCAAATGCTTCTAGTTTCTTCAAGTGTTTTTCTGTCAGAGACCAACTCTCAACTCCGTAGAGCAGGATAATGTTTCACTTAGCAACATAAATTTTGGGCTCAATTGTGGTCGTACATCAAGGATTACCTGTACCCGAACATCCACATAATCTGAGATTTGGCCAAACCTAGTATATTCCTGTAACATTTAAATATGATGCGCAAAGGCCAAACATTGAGAATGTAAGAAATATGTAGTGATATCATATACCAGAGCCTTCCTATTCTTCTTTTT